GCTCTTTCGTTTGGCGAATAATCAAGAACAAACTGATTGAATCACGAGTTTTCTCTTTCCATCTCTTGAAGCACACGAGAGGAACATCGCGCGTACCTAGGGAGGACAGGGGTGTTTTTTTGAAATTTTTGAGTTCATGAGAATACTTCCATCAGCAAAGAATACCAAAGCTTGGCCGTTCTATGAAAGGACGAGTTTTGATGAAGTGTTGTTCGAAAGTTCTCGAGCTTAACGACGAAGGGATGTGCTAGCGGGGCCTGTCGAGGTCGTATGACTGGTATTGCTAGTGATGGAATTATAGCAGAGTTCTCCAAGGGATATTTCTCGTGGAAGTATCTATAGAAAAGTGAAAGGTCGTCCGAACCCCATACATGCGGACATTTCTATGCCTTATAGATCATGGTTTGTTACTTGTTATCCAGCAATACTCGGCGTGAAATTTGATAATAATAATGAATATTAGGTATAACGGATCAGTTTTAATTCTCACAATCAGTTTTTACTCTCGAATCCAAGAGGTTTTCTGAAATATATGAATACAAAGTAATCTGAATGAAATAACAACATTCAACCAGCTCAGGAATGTTCTCGATCATGCCTAGAACTCAGATTTCACTCAAATCTAGTTTGCATGTTCATCATAATATCTGCTACTGAAACCTCATTGTATTTACCAGGTCAATTTTTTTTCGCATTCTGATGTTACAAATTACCACCAAATCCCAAACATCGACCATTTTTGCTTGATTGAAGTTGATGAGTATTGAATATACCAACAGTTTTCGAATAACCCAATCTTCAAGTCTGAACTAGTGTTTCATTACAGGTATGCTGATGATTGTTTGTTATTGCTTGAGGGTTCCCTTTCGGACGTTCATAATTTCTTGCTCACATCAATTCTCTTTACCCGAATTTAAAGTTCACCAAATCACCATAGAGACTAAATCCAATTTGGCTTCACCATTTCTCGATCTTCTTATCAAGAAAAATGTTTCTACTTCGAGATTTGAATTTGAGGCTCACAGGAAACCAATGCGACCGATTTTTTTAATCCCCTTTTCTTCTAATCACCCACATTTCCATGAGTACGCATCTTTCAATAGTTTTTTTTCATAGAGCTTTCTCACTTCCTCTCTCTGATCATGCCTTCACTGAGGAGTTAATAATCAATTTCCCTCAGAACACATCATGTTAATTTCTTTCTCAAATTTCATACCAAATGCCTAACCTTTAAAATCATTTCCAGCCAACGTTGATTTCAAGGACAAGATTCCCCTTAACGAAAAATCAGTTGTTAATGAATTGAACTGCAATAATTGTTATACCGCCTATATGGGTCAAACAAGAAGAAGATTTGATATTCGATTTTCTGAACATAAAAGTCCCATTAGCGGTTTTTGATTGCTGTTGATCATTATTCCCCAACTTCCTTCGCCAATCATATGAGAAGTTCTAATCATTCTTCTGATATTGTTTGTCCTAATTCTGGAATCCTTCATATCTGTGATAAAGGTCCTAGATTTGATCTCCTTGAAATCATGGAAATTCAGAAATGCATCAACAACCAAATTGTTTCATGTCTCACTGATCGAACCAATTTCGAACGTAACCATATTTCCAGGACTTCAAAATTTTCATGACTCTTCAAATATTGGTGTTCCCCTTCTTTGCAGGTAACTCTCCACCTTCTTCTTCTTCTTATTCTTTGATCTCTCTCCTACATGCCCAGCTCTCTTCTCCGCACTTTCCTTTCTAATTTTCACAATTTCAGGAACTCTGACGGCAAACTGATGTTCGTACAAAAACAATCTTTCAATTTTGTTGATATCATGTTCAATCTCATCACAGCCAGTTTTTTCTGGCTCTTCAGTGAATTTGAAGATTCTACCAACCCGTTGACGAAAATCGTATAGTACCATGTTTTATCATTTCATATGTAGAAAATTGTTCGTCCTCATTATTGTCACATGATATTTTAGGTACCATTGTCTGATGATGTTGGCCGTAGTGCCAAAACTGGTAACTTTTCACTGAAGATCTCAATATAAAGATGGTCGACGGACTTTGTGCTACTTGTTTTTTTTTTTTGAATATACCAATAATCTTCCTGCATTACTACAATGGTTTGTTATTTTCATGATATTATCTTCAATTGGAATCATTTTCATTGGAAGTTCGAAGTGTTCAAATCGGAAAGCGATTGATGCCAAGTTCAGATCTACTATTTTCCCAGCATCGGACATCTTCTTCACACGTTTTCCTCATGCTCGTAGCCCTCACGAGTGAAAATCAACTTCTATAGTTAGAATTCCACTTGTTTCATTCTGAATCACTATTTTTTCTAGAGCATGTTCCAACTATTTCTTTGCTGTTCTTACTTTGGTACTTTCTCCAATTCCAAAAACTTCTGGCTCTATATGTGAAAATAAATTTCATCCCATTACCGAGGTGCATTAATCGGTTGGTAATGATCCAGCCAATTCCAATTGATTTGTTCTCACTGAGACGAAAGTGAATAATCCAGCCAATTTAATTCACATTGTGTCCACTGGAATTTTTTTTTTTGCAATTGCATTACCTCGTTGGTCCCAGCACTGGGACCAAACGCCCCATGAATCGAAACTTGTGCGGGGTTAGGTAAGCAGACAAACACAAACATCCATGGCCTAACTAGGATTCGAACCTATGTCTCGGAGGGAGTCCCCATACGAACTCAGCGCCTTCGCGCTCTCGACCACCGAGCCGCCTAAATGAGAGAATGAATGAGAACATGGCCTTATATCTCTTCATTACTATCTTACGGTTTTATTTCGCAATATTTTGAGTATTAGTATTCCAATATCCCATTCATGCGGCCTGAATTGTTGATACCTGAGACAAAGATTAAGAACGGATCGAGCACCTATATCCGATAATGTGTTCTTTAAAAAAATATTCACCCTGAAGCATTTCATTCTCACCTGTGAAATAGTTGAAAATGTTTATCTTTTGAAAGAAATTGAAATGTCATATTACTCACCTTGTATGGACGTATAAACAATGACAGTTTTGTAAGATAGCTTTTCTTCAGCGGTTCAAATGAACGAAATTCATTGGACACATTTTCTTTCCTCGGGTTTAAATATAGAGTTGATTATTAACCTTGACAGTTTGGTAGGATTTTGGATAATATTAATATCTGACGGAATGTGGCGTCTATAGCACACACCTGGAATTCTGATTGTATTGCTTGGTGCAACTGCAGCAAACTAGGAAGTATTATAAGTGAGCGTTATCGTTTCCATGAAATAGATTTTATAGTAGTCATCGCTTAAGCTTCTGCACTTCAGTCGGTCCGTTTCACTAAGAGCGTGGTTATTGTAACTACTATCATTCGGGTGGTGAATATGAAGGTCAGTAGTTATTCAGACCACTCACAGATTTTTTGATTCTCTGAGGCATAGATGGATAATAAATCAACAACTTGTAATTTTTTATTCCACTTTTTATAGTGGCAGATATCCATCAGCTTTTTCTGGTGATTTGTGGAGTGGCTTGGATGTTCAATAAAGAAATGTGGCACTATTTCAAGGAATTATTGTTGATCTGTCAATGCTAGATATCGCAAAAGAGGTAATTCTACGACAAGAAAGTATTGAATACCTACCTTATTATTTGTGAAAATGAAGAGAATACCTATTTCACTAGAAGGATAGCATCAAACAATATAATTTTGAGGGATTCAACAAATCCATTCTTTAATTTCGGAAAGTATTTGATTCAGAGGTTTCGATATCATCAATAGAACCACAGATAGAAGACGTTGATGGGCTACTTTTATTTTACTTCATGTAAAAATAACTCTAAGTTTAGGTTGAGTTTTTGTAATATATCAGTATAGGGAGTACTTAGAAAATATGTATAACTAATGCCTAGTATTTCAGATACTTGCTGCTTTACATTTACTTGCACGAGGATCCTATCAGCAATGTCTCAACCAAGTGCTTGTAGAGTGTATCAATTGTTAATTCAAAAAGACGTTAAGAAGGCAGGAATAAAGCAATACTCAATGAAATAGTAGATGTAGGACTAATAATAGAATACCAAATATCATTATTGAAAAATCTGAGGTGGTTAAAAAAGTTCTTAATAACAACGTTACTAGTTTAACCAACACTTCTTAGAGAATCGGACCGAGTGTATGTATTGTCTGTTCACTATCGCAATAGTTATGAACGTACCAAGGCCGATATGTAACGAACTACAAAGGAGGCTGAATATTGTAATTTGAGGAGAAGTCAAGGATTATAACAACCAACCAAATTTGTTATCTGAGTATCGGCCTAATGTCGTTCAAGACTTTTTGTGATTTCACTAAAAGTTCACATTTTGAAGGACAGAACACACCACGTTTCTCGTAATTATACAGGAAAATCCCAACATCGTTTTCACTACCTTCTGCAAGTTTTTATAGTTTTACTAGAGATGATAAGAAAAATAAGCATAATGGGTTTGGACAAGGACGGCAGTCAATACGTTCTCATTATTTTCGAAATGGGCACAACATAGATTTGATGCAGAAGAAATAAGAAATCATACTTCTCGGAGAATTGGTACATACTCTCGAGGAGGTTGATTACGCGAAATAGTTAATCACAAAACCTGCTATATTCAGATGTTTAGTGCGACCAACGTCTACCATGTTCAGCTTCATATAGGTTCGCAAGGGGCGTTGTGTTCTATAGAATTGTCTTGTTCATCCTTTTCCATGTACTATAACTTATGTACGAATCATGAACTTGATTGTAGAAAATTTGTTGAACGGCTCAGGATTAATTCCAAAAATGAATAAGAATCCTTTTTGAGTGGAGCTCACCCAGTACTGTTGAGTACCTATCAGCACCTCAAAATTCCGAAAACTCCTGACGCGAAAAACAAACTTGTAGAAAGCCGCTAGGAGATGTTTTTTCAACAGTCTATGCTGGAAGCAGGGGACTGTAGCTTGTAGAATTTGAAGCTACTTAGGTCTTTATAGACTCGACGGACCACTTGAAATCTTGGGGCTCCTTAACTTCGAAGCGACAGCTAGAAAATAGGTTGGGGATCAGGATGCAGCAATGAACATAAGCATCATGAATAGTGAGGATGCAGCAGATGATATTTCCTGGTGACCATCAGCCATTTCAAAAAATAGATCAAGTGGAAGCCGGCAGATCATTAACAGAAAGAAACCCTGTGTCATGCCAAGAATCTGCCTCTAGTGATTCAAAACACTCAATTCCCATGATCAATCGACTTCACACACGAAAAATAACTTTAATCAGTGTTTTATCACCTTACAAGGCAAAATCAAAAATGCCTTTCTTGTCGATATGATCGCGTCGATCAGGCGAACGAAGAAGGTCAAGACTCCACTCTGCCATCACGATTCCTCTATTATTTCCACTTCCTACTATTCCACCTTTTTTTATACAATTCCTTCTAGCGTTCCCTTCCTACTCCTGCGCAAAGTGCAGTATGTGTTTCACGGTTAAGTGAGCTTTGTGCATGATCTCTGCGAAATATTTTTACGATGAGATGCACTAGATCATGATTGGTTATCCATCTCGATTGTTTCAGATGTATACAACTGATCAAAACAAGATATCACACAAAAAATATACCTTTTATGAAAAGCATAAAATACTTCAGCAGTCTATCAAGATAATAAAAATGCTGCGAGCTTTCATCACCATGTTTCGGCATGTATTGAGAAAATTAGTGGTCAGAAACTCTTTGTAACCCAACTGTTGCGCTTTCTGAGTATCGAACAGTCATTTCTGAGTGTGAATTTCGTTAAAATATACAGTAAACTCCAATCTGTGTCGAGTAACATTGTGAATTTGACAGCCGGCGGTTCATACGGCAGCATTACTTTTTGAAATATGTTTTTTCAATTCTGCCGACAAAAAATGATCAAATGTTCAATTTGCTGTTGGAACTTGAATTAATAATTATTCATTGTACAAGGGAAAAAAATAGTAAGTTTTAGGTTGTGTTGTCTCCCGACGCGTAGCGGCATGTATTGAGAATATTAGTGGTCAGAAACTCTTTTTAACCCAACTGTTGCGCTTTCTGAGTATCGAACAGTCATTTCTGAGTGTGAATTTCGTTGAAATATACAGTAAACTCCAATCTGTGTCGAGTAACATTGTGAATTTGACAGCCGGCCGTTCATACGGCAGCATTACTTTTTGAAATATGTTTTTTCAATTCTGCCGACAAAAAATGATCAAATGTTCAATTTGCTGTTGAAACTTGAATTAATAATTATTTATTGTACAAGGGAAAAAAATAGTAGATTTTAGGTTGTGCTGAAATCTAGTATTCTTCCCGTGTATAATACACTATTTTTTTTCTTTGACAGAAGAAAGCACGAATCAATATTGAGAAGATATTACATTATTTTGAAATTTGAAAATTATCAACGTGAAATTTCAAGTTTTCAACAGTAGGGACACCTGTGTTGTAGGCATCTTCATCATTCTTTTGAAGTAATCAAATATCTGATGACACTTCTGTCATTCTAATTCTGTGATTTGCTTTAAAAAAATTGCGAATTTAGTGGTTGTTTAGTAATATTCGTAACCGCGAAGTCGAATGGGAGATAAAAGTACGTGCAGTTCTTTCACGGAGACGGTATTATTGACTCAATAATGATAAAAATAATGATAATAATAATAATAATAATAATGATAATAATAATAATAATAATGTGAGTGTCAACAGGCCATTCACATCGAAGGTGCGACGGATGGCCAATACTTTGCGTCGCACCCATCACACACTAAATGAGGCAGTGCTATCCACCATCAAACAGCACTGCCTCGAAAGGATACGAATGTTAGTGGATGCAAAACAGTCACTAAAGAGGCGAGCGAGAGGGCTGGCGGAAAATAAACAATTCCGCGAAAAGCCCTCTCGCTTATTTCAACCGCCTCCAAGTGTGGTTGACAATCCGCCGACTGCTGATCAGGTGGAAACCTTTTGGAAGAGTATTTACGAGGTGAGGCATCCATTCAACAGAGATACTCCAGCCCTGGCGCAGTTCGGTACCTTCTGCGGAAGATACCGAGAGCCTGAGCCCGAATTACTGCGCCAACCGACAACCACTGAGGAGGTTCAAGAAGCCCACAAAGGCTCCAAGAACTTTGCTGCTCCTGGTCCCGACGGGATCAATAACTTCTGGGGGAAAAAGTTTTCCTCTACCCACCACCATTTAGCCAGGATATTCGATAGCTGGCTGAATGGGGAGTAGCAAATTCCTGAGTGGTTTATCGAGGGGCGAACCGTACTTCTTCCTAAGACTGGAGATTTGTCCAATCCGTCACCCACTCATTCTATGTGGATGACCTCAAACTTTATGCCTCTGGTGAGAGGGAAATGGACCAATCCCTTAAGGTGGTGCAGGAGTACACGCAGGCAATTGGAATGGAATTCGGGATGGACAAATGTGCACTGGTTCATCTCAAGAGAGGACGATGCGAGAACTACGACAAGGACGCGCAGCTCGTCGACGGAAGCATCCTACACCACCTGGATGCCGGAGAGACGTACACCTACCTGGGTGTAGAGGAAACTCACATCCAGGAGGCACAACGGGTGAAAGACGCTCTCCGCAGCAAGTATCGGCAGCGGCTCCGACAGATCTGGTCGTCAGAACTGTCGGGGAAGAACAAAGTCGCTGCGACTAACATGCTTGCTGTTCCGATCTTACTTTACTCATTTGGAGTGATAAAGTGGACTCAAGTCGAGCTGCGACAACTTGACGTAAGTACTCGCAAGATGATGCATCTCCATAGGAATCTGCATCCAAATTCGTCCGTTCCACGGTTATACATACCTAGAGACCAGGGTGGCCGTGGACTCTTGAGCTTGGGGTATCTCCATAACAGAATGGTTCAGAAATAGGACGAAAAATGAATACATAATAAAATATAAAACATTTATAGTTAGGATGCAAAATTTAGGTATTCTGAACCTACTGCACTGTCCAGGCACTGCTCAAAATAATCATTCAAGAAATAGCGTTCCAGATTACATAAGAAGTCAAGTATAGGCTTCTTCACTAGTTGAAAATTTTCTCTCAGTTTCATATGTGTTGGTAAATGATTAAATGATTTTATACAGGAGTAAAGAGCACCTTTCTCCAAACAGGCTAACCTATGATATGGAATATTGTAATTTGAGATGTTTCTAGTACTATAGCTATGAGTTATGTCGAATTGTAGGAAATATGACCTTTTTTTGAACACAAATTTAATACACTCATATATGTACAATGCTGGAACAGTAAGTAAATTTAGGGTGCTGAAGTGAGTTTTACAAGAAGTGAGATAACTCAACTTTTTGATTATTCGAATAGCTCGCTTTTGAATTGTGAAAATATTTAAGGCTTCACTGCTTCCTCCCCAGAGAATGATGCCATAACGTGCCCTTGAATAGAAGCTTGATATTTGTGTTATTCGACAGTATTCTGAGGCCAAAACAAGACTGGTTGAGTTCCCTACTGAGGAAATTGATGTGGGAGAAAAAAATTAAAGCCTTCATCAAGAAACACACCCAAACACTTGATTTCTGTGGAAAATTGTATTTTATGTTGATTGAGAATGATATTGTCTGGGGTTTCAGGCCCACGTGTTGTTTTGAAAAACACTGCTTTAGTTTCATCAGGATTTAGTATTAATTTCGAATTCAAGAACCAATTTTTTATGTTAATCATGAGTGAATCACCATTAAGCGTTAGTTGAGGAAAATTTAAAGCGGTAAATAACAATGTAGTATCATCTGCATAGTTAATGACAGTTTGATCTCGTTCGGCAATTGATAAGAGATCATTGATGTAGATGATGAATATGAGTGGCCCCAATATGACTATGACTATGACTATAGCACAACAAAAGCCATCAACAGTGTATATTTATGTGATATATATATATATATATTATATCCGGGAGAAAAGTACTCATTTTTTTCCCACGGGAAAAAAGTTATTTATGGAAAGTGGCATTTTATACCCTGCCAACAGAGATGAAATGCCGAACTTTTTTCTCGCCACAGAAAAAAAAATACATTATTCAACAAATACCAGACATCAAATGAGATTTTTTTCACCATTGCACAATCGACGTATATATGAATATGTGAAATAAATATCTGAAATCGTCACCCTCAACCTTTCAAGTTAATCCAGTACATCGTATTCTGATATAGATATTGTGCCCGCTTCCCGATATTCCAGGTTCATTCCAATCTAGTTTAGTTTAGTTCAATTAAGTTCAGTTAATCGAATCACTATTCCACATTAAGTAGCTACTGATGTGTTAGCGAAACATATCGTGTATACAGGGTGTTAACAAATAAGTGTCACAACGGAAAACTGTAGATTGCTCATGGAAAATGATACACATTTTTCCCTATCGAAATTTTTCTCCGGGCTTCTGTTATCAAGATACAGGGCGTCAAAAAAATACAAAAAAATCTGTTTTTGCTAATATCTCAGGAACCGTCGGAGCTACGGAGCTAAGCCTTCGTACACACTTCATCATTAATAATGACTACTTTTAGGGTTCTTGATCAAATTCCTTGGACATGTCAGTGGGAGAGAATTCAACGCCTCGTAAGGGTTTAACCCCCAAACATTTATGCCACTAGAGAGATTGTAATTCATAAAGTAGATTCTGAAGCGCCAATATCTTTCACACAAAAAACGTCCTCTTGTCTCAATGCTCTAAAGTAAACAGTTTCCGCGAAAAATGGCTCTTTATGAATAAGAACATACAAAATCCTGATAGTATCTCCAAAAACCGTCTGAAAATCCACTGGAAATAAACACCTCAGAACTGTAATAATATGTTCAATCAAATGTCAAGTTCTTGAGTATGCTGGTCTCAATCCTGGTTTTCGGATTGTCAAGTTTATTAAGTGTTGTAAAGTGTGTTTAATTAATCTGAACATTTTTTATTTTTTGACGCCCTGTATCTTGAAAAAGGAAGCCCAGAGAAAAATTTTGAAGCGGAAAGAAATATTTCTTTTATTATGAGGAATCTATACAGTTTTCCGTTGTGACACTTATTTGTTAACACCCTGTATAATCGAGAATGTTCTGGAAATCTCATGATTAGTGGAGTTTCCACATCAAATATGGATAGCTGAAATACAATATATATATATAAATATATGAATTCAGAAATTACATCCATAAGAAAACACCTCCTTCCCGTTCTTCTTTTCTACTCACTTGTTTATCGCGTCCAAATTGACGGTGGCCTCCTCCTCCTCCGATTGGCCGCCCGACAAGAAGGTGATGCTGGGCACGGCGACAGGCACGGTGCGCTGCAGAGCCGTCACAGTAGCCAAGGCGACTTCCGCGGGGCCCGCCTTGACGGTGGCCGATTGTCCGGCGGTCACTATGTTGGGTTTCAGGAGGGTGCCTTTCAAGTAGACGTTGTGGTCGGCAAGAGCCTGAACGAAAGGATACAGTTAAAAGGGCAGTAGAAGGTTTCACCGACTGAAATCCCTCTTTTTCACGCAATCTCGTTCACACAATCTCTTGCACACTACCGCTTCCTCACAACATAGGCCCAAAATTTGCCTCCTGGAGAGTTATACCCATCTGAAGAGGAGCTCGAGATGATGGTTTAATGTGAGAATTTCCAAAACCCTTTGTGATGGAATGACCACATGCACATTGCACATGTACACAACTTTTCATGACCGATTCGGTCCAGGTGCACATTTTCTCCCTACTCTTTGTTCATGCAATTTTTGCCACAAGTATGTAAATCTCAACATTTACACTCGAAAATTCCGAAAATCATATGATTCGATGGAGAATACTACTTTATGTCTAGATCTACTTCGGATGTTTGATCGAAAATATGAGGAGCGCAATATTGAAAAATGATATAGTATGGAAGAGGTACTATTTCCATTATGCCACTGAATTTCAAAGTTGATTTATCTCGAAAATGGCCAGTTCTATCGAAACTGACCAGGAATGATATTCTTCAGTGAAAATCATGGTATTTTTATATATCCTGGTCAAAATGCCAAAAATTGCATCAATAAAGAGGTTGGAGAAAAAAGTGCTCCGAGCCCCATCTATTTGCCACGCCGTTGATCAAAGTTTTCGAAAGTTCTTAACGATTTCGAATAAGGCCTGAAAAGTCAGGAGCATGTACAGAATTTGTTTCCATCATCACAGTCAGTTTCTAGAATATTTTCATGAAACCGTCATCTCAAGCTCTCCTTCAGGTGGTTAAAACCCTCGCTAAACCCATATTCATGTGAAATTTCATTACCATTTTTGTTTCAAAAATCTGCGGTTGAAATCTTCTCTATGTGATTTCGAGTCACCCTGTATATATACAGGATGATTCAAAAGTGAGCGGCATCCATTCAGAGAGGTATTTCTAGCATAATCATGAGGCAAGCAGTTCTCATCACTAAGGGTCCGTATAACTTCCATCACAATATCAATTCTCAAAAATTGGTGTACGCTATAAACACCTGATGGTGAATAAGACTCTGAATTGAAAATCGCAAAATTTCATTCAGGGGTGTCACATGCGGGGGAGGGTAAGTGTAAAAATATTCCTTCTTCTTTTGATCTTCTGGTTATTGTAAATGTCGTTTGAAAATCATGAAATTCTTGAGTTTTTCATATGGAAGAATTTTTATGGTTCATTTTAATTAAGTATTCCATCAAGGGGAAAATCGACTTTAAAAACTTTCTGATTTGCGTAAATGACAATAACTTGAATATCAAAAGAAGACGAGATGTTTTGACAGTTTCCGCATGTGAAGCTCCTGCAGAAATTTTTGAGATTTTGAGTTCAGAGTCTTATTTGACATCAAATGTTTATTCCGTACACCGATTTTTAAAAATTCATTGAAAAGAATATTAAGGTTAGGTAAGTATAGAGAAAGATTCGTCTTTGAGGTTTCCTACTCAAAGGGGCGTAACTCCGTTAGGAAGCATTTTTGGACCCATATTATGAGAAACTTTTTGCCTTATTTTCATGCAAGGAATACGCCCCTGGGAGGATTCCGCTTACTCTTGGATCACCCTGTATATGAATGAATAGAGATTCGTTCAAAATGAAAATAAATTCACCTAATGAATCGCATCTTTTCATAAGACAGAAGAACGAATCAGTGATGACACCATTGAATTGGTCATTTCAATTATGAATAATGAATTAGTGATAATGAACAAATTAAGCGATACTAATTATTCGATAATGATGACTCAGATACTTCTCTCGGTGTACTCATTGTCAAACATAAATCATTTAACACATATTGATGAAGTGATGGTCAATTGGCCGTGTTATAGCACACTAAAGCAATTCGTAGTTATTGGGATCCGAAAAAGGAGTCCTCCATCGATAGTTCAATATTGAAAATAACATATTTATTGACAGCTACAACAATTCTCCGAGAGATTCATACAATACAAAATGCCCATTAGCTAATGACATATTGAATCATCACTTTGATATATCGACAATGACCTCGAATTTTTATCCATTTGCCAGGAAGGCACTCTTCTGAATTCATCGGAGACTCTCGATATAAGTGAATGAATCAATCGAAGATGAAAATATTATATCCATCAACGAATGAAAACATTTTGATTGTCAAAAATTTTTCAACTCTATATAATTCCGATTTTCGTCAGTACTTTGCCTTATTTTGCCAAAATGTTATCATTTTGTTGAATTTATCTCTTTGACATGTGGTGATTTTGTATACGGTGCTGCTTGATAGACTACTGACACCCATAGTTTCATGAATGATGAAAGTAAGATATGGTGTAATCACTGATGCGCTTTTGTTTCAGAAATTTTACCCGACCTCTCGAGAGCAGCGAGAGCAATGGTTCCGTTGATCTTCTAATAGATGGCGACATTGCACAATTATGACTTCTGTCAGTTTCGAAATTGTCGCAGATTTCTCGAATTCAGAGTTGTTTAATTCTACTGTGACATTATGTTCCGCGTACCTAAAATGGCAATTGCCATTTTATTTCCACTCGTCACAGCAGCAATAGCAGCATCACCATCTACCGGAAAAATATAGAATCAACGTCTCGCTCGTTGTGACGAAGAGAAATCATAGTAGGCCCGTCGAGTGATTTTTCTGAGATTTTCAATACGTAATAATGGCCGAATGCGCACACTATATCTTACTCCCATCATTGATTCATGGGATAGGATTATTTTGTGTAACTTGTCAATTGAGACATACTTCGCACAATTTATGTCACTCGCCACTCACTCTTGCCATTTTACTTTGACACGGTTAATCATTGGCACCTTCATACCAATATTCTTCTGGATGATCTGGTGGCTGTACCCTTCGTGAAGCCCCTTTTATATAATTAGCATTCTTACATTGCTGTTGTCTTTTTCAAATCCACTTGAGCATACAACTGAAGCCAATTTCAATGTCTGATGAAATATCTTCTGTGCAGCAATTTCATAAATAATAATGCTGTTGATGATGGACTATTGAGACTCCAGAACATGTTCAGATGTGTTTATACTGCGAGTGATGGTGACAATGACATGATTTATATATTTGACTGTGATTTGTGACAGATACAATTATGACGAACCATCTATTTATCAACGGATTTCAAGTTTCATAACAACCAGAATGAATCAGTAATTGGATCTGAATAATTGTAGAAGGAACACGATATTCTACTAGACTCGGAAGATTTACAGGGATCATCAGAGGAACCTTCGTGGGATACATAAGGACTTGTGGTTTCCCGTGGGACACTTTCGGCTTGAATGAGGATGCAACGTCCTTAAGTTCGTAGTAATTTCACTGATGAAACGCTTTGGCAATTTAGTCGTAGCAGGAGAGTTTCTCCTGGATATATCAGTGCATGGCTGGACAATTTAACACATAAATTGGTATTTGTGATACGAGTTAGTCAAAAAATAATCACCAAATTTCAGTTAGTACCATAATAAATATGTAGAAGACAATTTGAAAAAAAAACCTCTCCGTGTCTAACTATTAGTATTCTGATGTCGGCTATTGTTTGACAAACATTTTCTGAAAAGAGGGATTGCTGACGAACCTAACGATACCAATTTATCTACAATTTTACTGGGAATGAGAACATGAATAAAATATTGTAGTGAAGCAAACAGTGGTTAGGTGACGAGATCGATAGTATTCTGAATAAAAAAGGGACGATGAAAAGGAAGTTAGATTTTCTGTAACGAATATCTAAAAAGGAAAACTTGAGAATATTCAACTTCAGAGAAAAATCGAATGAAGATACTAGATCTGAAATAATCAACCACTTCTATACAAAAATGCAAATAAGCCTATCAAATGGTGACATGGTGAAGATCTCACAAGCCGAAGGGTTGAGCTGTTGACGAAGGCCATCAAGAAATCGTCCATGAAGGACGTTTGGACCGACTGGGTAAAATCTATGGTAACATCAACAATAAAATTGTGATCATACGATTCAGAGAAGATTTCAAGAAGACTTTCTGAAAATCATTCCATTTTACCCAGATAGCACACAATCGCCTAGGGCCATCCTCAATGTGTCGCCGAACGCCTAGAGAGGACGTTATGATTTCTACAACCTAAGAACATCATCAGGCGTAGATTTAGCGCCGTAATTGTCCTAGAAAAGTTCTCTCAGTGACAGCCTGAGGCTGCAGCGGATGTCGTGCCTACGGATGTCTTCAGATGACATTCCATGAAAAAACGTGTCGACGAAGCCAAAAGGAAGAAGAAGAAGAGAACTAGAAATACTAAAAGTGAGGTTATGTTCCATGATAATATTTCTCTGAGAAATTGATGAGATAATAAGAAATACAGATAATTAATTAATCAAATCATTGATAGTAGGTACAAGACATGATATATTGAATATATTATTTTATTTCAGGAGGTTATTGAGAACACAAACTTGATGATATCATCAGAGCAGATATGTTTCATTCCAAGATATTTTGGCTTCTATGGAATCTATCAAACATTGTATGAAGGCTTGAACTTTCAGTGGATTCAATAAAGATAGGTACCTACCTGAATCAACTCATTGATATTAGGTAGTGGACATGAAATATTAATACATTATTATTTGTTCCAGGAGGTTATTGATGAGAACACAAACTTGATCATTATATCATCAGATCAGAGATGTTTGATATTCCAACATATTTTGGCTTCTTTGGAATCTATGAAAGATTGTATGCAGGATTTAACTTCCAGTATAGAAACAATTAAGGTACTAGGTAGGAATCAAATCATATTGATAGTAGGTATACCTACTGGACATAAAATATCAATACATCATTTGTTTCAGGAAGTTATTGAGAACACAAACTCTATATCATATTATCAGAGCAGAGATGTTTCATTCCAAGAAATTTTGGCTCCTTCGGAATCTATGAAAGATTGTATGCAGGCTTGAACTC